TTCCACTGAAGTTCCTCTTTTAGGTGGATTAGGCCTTTGTGGCAAACCTGTCCCATGACAAACAATGCAGCCCACCATCTTGTGCAGTGGCTGTCACCCAGTGACATACAGGGGGCTTCAAATTCAGCCCTTTATATAACCAAAGGGCCACACATATTATTCAGCATACAGTATGCCATGCTGGAATAGACTGTCAGTGACTGCATACCTATTAGAGGAAGTGATGGTCATAGATTGTGGACATGCTGCAGTGGGAGATCGGGGACATGTTACATGAGGCTAATAGATTCCTATTTACAAATCATTCCCACTACAGATGCTGGAGTCTGAGGGCCACACAACAAGGACCAAGGGGCAGCAAGTGGCCCTCGGGCTGCCGGTTTGGCACCAGGGACTTAGAGGATAACACACTTCGGACATTTGTACCTGTTCATCTCTCCTGATATCTCTGACAGTGCACCAGGAAGAAATGAACGGGCTGATTGAACGATTAATGACACATTGAACTGAAGTCACCGGGCTTACCTTTTAATGTGAGGGCGATGGTGTCATTCTCACCCACCAGATACCCGCAGGGCAGCAGCTCCGGGGTTGCCACAGTGTTGGTCCGTTTGATCTCCCCGATGCTGTAACCGGTCACACTCTCAGAATTGAGTCCTAGCTGTGTGGTTGGGTCCACGTGTACAATGTACTCCTGTAATAGACATCACACGGGTTAGGCTTTGTACAAGTAGTCATTAAAGTGCATTCATCTAAACCAAACACATTTTTAGATAGATTGGAGAGGGTTATCACACCGTCACATTATCATTTTGCTATCTGTGCATCGTTCACTTTACAGGAAGTGTAAAAAAAGGAAGTGAGAGGATGGGAGATCATCCCTAAAACAGGGGGGCTTCATTAAAGGGGATTCCTTCTATTTCCTTTCCAGTGGCAACTGTATCATTTCAGATTTCCAGCTACTTTCATCCCCAGAGACAATGGTCACTAGAACCAGTGGCGTCACAAGGGGGGTTCGGCCCGCACCCGGGTGATATACCATTGGAGGAGTGACACCAAAATGACCGACAGTCATTTTGGTGTCACCCCCCCTCTGAAAAGTCGGTCACTCGGTCAAGGATCGAGAGCCTGACAGTTGCTCGAGAGAGAGAGGAAGGGACCCGGCGTCATATCTTATCCCGCCGGGTGACGTCCCCTGCTCTCTCTGCCGGCGTCCATCACCAAGATGGCCACCGGCAGGTAACAGCGGTACTGCGCGCAACGTCATCACGCGCATGCGCGATGACGTCACTGCGGGGTGTCACCCGGTGCCCGCACCGGGTGTCACCCCCCTGCCTCAGGACACCTCTGACTAGAACCAATAGATAGGCTAAGTCTTCCCAGCGGGGTCCTAGATAGCAAGAAAAACCTTAAAGGAGAACTATGAGGTTAAGTCTTTTCCCCATGGTTCTCCTTAGGGTAACGGGAGGACACAAACTAGCGTCCTCCCGTCACCCTAGGCTCTGTATATAGGGAGCTGTAGCTCGCGGTATACTGAGACGCCGCAGCTGAAGCGGATCCCGACAATTGTCCCGGGATCCGCCCAGCTGCGTGACTGACAGCTGGCTCTGCCTATCTAGAGGCAGAGCCAGCTGTACCCGCCCCCTCCCCCATCCGATCCACCAGTCAGCGCTGGAGGATCGGAGCGGGGAGGGGGGAATCCAGCGCCTACGCCTTCCACGCTACATCCAAAACCGCTAAAATGTTTTGTTTTCAATACACTTCTATATGCGGCATTCAGTGTGTGTTTCTAATGCCCGCAGCTCAACGCCACAACTAAACCAGAAAGAGCAAATGGACCCAAATGGATTAGTACACACACACGCCCCCTAGGTGATGTTCTGGCTTCACACTGTTGGGCTGCATCAAAATACATTTAAACTGCGGAGTCTGAGCTGAACAGAGTAATCTGATTCTATGTTACCCCTCCAGCAGAGCCCTGAACACTGGGGTGTGACATGTGGTGGAAGCCCCTCGTGTCCAGCCAGCCACTTTGTGCAAAGACACATAATGAACACAACAGTTTAATATTTTACCTTAAATAACCGGCGTACAACCCCATCCAGGACATCCCATTTGGTTTTGCCTCCGACACCAATACAGCCAATAAGGAATATGCGAGGCCGGCAATCCTGCAGAGGAAGTACAAGGAGATGTATGAGACATACCAAGCACCAGAGTTACATTACTTCTATTACTGTGCTAACTAACATAGGGGTGGAGGGTTGGGGGAGAGGGAAGCCACCTGCACTAATAAACATGGGGGTGGAGAGTTGGGGGAGAGGGAAGCTACCTGCACTAATAAACATGGGGGTGTAGGGTTGGGGCAGAGGGAAGACCACTGCACTAATAAACATGGAGGTGTAGGGTTGGGGGAGAGGGAAGACCACTGCACTAACAAACATGGGGGTGTAGGGTTGGGGGAGAGGGAAGACCACTGCACTAACAATCATGGGGGAGGAGTGTTGGGGGAGAGAGAAGACCACTGCACTAACAATCATGGGGGAGGAGTGTTGGGGGAGAGGGAAGACAACTGACATTTTTAATTCTGTACTAGTTTTTCATGATATCTCTCTCACTTTTCTATAATAACCGGTCACTATTTTTCTAATTATTGGGTAAATATTAATTTGCTGCATATAAATGTTTTTTTTGGCCAGTAGGGGGAGCTCTAGGACACCTTTCCAGGTTCCCCAGACTATCCTTCTTTCCCCCTCCCTCCTGTCATGTTCAGGTCATGTGATTTAAAGTTTCAGATACAGAGGGCCTGAAGGCAAACATCCTCTGCCGTGCTTAATAAAAGAGAAATCGTAGATAGAAAACAATAGTTACAAAATGCCCCAAAACATTGTCGTTTTCCCTGTTTGTATTATTGCCCCCGTGTTCTCTCTGCTTTTCATGTCCTGTACCCAAGTTGCCCCCCCTCCTCTTCATTGTTAGTATCAGGGTTCCCCATTTTGTATCTGTCCCCACCATACAAAGGTAAAGCCGGATCAGCGGCTCAGCACACCCACCTCTCTCCATTTCACCTCCTCCGAGAGGCTGACCACAATCTTGACATGGCGGCTCTCCTTGCGCAGGGTGCCGTCCGCAGAGTCCTCCAGGAGCATGTCTGAAAGGGAAAAGGAATGAGCAACAGGGACGTAACTACGAACAACGGGGCCCCGCAGCTGAGTTGTGTCAGGGGCCCGGCTGGTGACGGTATTGGATGGAGTTGCACTTTATATTACAATCTGATTGGTTGTTTTGTGTTGTGTACGTTGCTCGCCCCTTAGGCCCGGTGGCCAGCCAGGGGACGCCATGCTGCGCACAGATCAATATTCCAGTGTGTCTGTAGGTTATAGAAGTGACTCACCCAGGCTGGAGGATTCAGTCATGGTCATCCCCGGCTGTGTGAAGCCCATGGATTGCCTCGGAGAGGAAGAGATGGAGATCTGCGATGGCGTTCTGCTGCATTTCCCGCCGTGACTCTCTGACTTCAGACGATCGTTTTCAGCTTTCAGCTTCTCAATCTCAGTCTGGAAATGGAGATGAATTAGAGCGCACGGAAGAGGCTCAGCCAGTCCAAAACAGAAACCGTGTGTGTGAAAATCGGGAGCAGTGGCAGCCAACAAACAAGGGCATTCAATGAGGCACCAATGTGATCCAGTAAACACTGCAGGTCTGCTAAAGTCAGAAAGTTTCCTCCCTTGCATCCGAACTGTGCGTTACCCCAGCACAGTAAACGCAGCTGGGCGGATCCAGACATAATTGTCGGGATGCGCTTCAGCTGCGGTGTCTCAGTATACCGCGAGCTGTAGCCCGCTATATACTGAGCTTAGGGTGACGGGAGGACGCTAGTTTGTGTCCTCCCGTTACCCTAAGGAGAACTATGGGGAAAAGACTTAACCCCATACTTTTCCTTTAAGTTCTCTGTGTGTGAGCGGCAGCATGGAGGGTGCTCCAGGATCACTAGCAGATGTGTCCCAGGATCATCACAATTTAGGAGATTGGCTGTGATTTCTGAATGCATCTTTAAAAAGGGAAATGCATCACTTCAAAGGGATTTAGAAGTTGTAACGTATGTCTGCATGCTTTACTCTTAAGCTGGCCATACACCTTACAACCACCGCACGACTTTCGTCTTGCGATGGTCGTACGGTCCTTAAATTGACGTACGACCTGCCCATCTTGGACAGGCAGATCGTACTTGCGATCATCGAAAACCCTGAGCGGAGGGCTTGCCGATGATTGCATTGCTGAGCGGGCAGTGTGCGCTTGCGCACAAAGGCCCGTGCGGCTTTCATCTTCCGAGCGTGCTACCAACCCGCCGAAAATCGTACGGGTTTTCCAGCGTGCTCGGAAGACGGAAGTCGTGCGACCATATAGTAGATGCGGTCGCACACTGCCCATACACCGGCCGATTATCGTACGATCGCGGGATCACCCACAACTGTCGTACCGTAATCGTCAGGTGTATGGGCGGCTTTACTGTTAAGAGATATTGATAAGCTAGAACAAGTCCAGACGAGGAACAAAAATGAGATAAAACATATCAGGAGAGACTGCCGGAACTTAATATGGAGGAAAGAAGGGGAAGGACGGACATGACTAAGCTTTAAATACATGAAGGGTGTGAATACGATTCAGGAGGGGAGTATTTCTAAGTCCGTACAAAACTGTGACTGACACCCCCCTGTCCCGGGCACAATCACAGGGGCGCATTCCCGCCCCTTTAAGACATGTAGCTTCAGGTTGGGGAATGCCCCTGCAACAAAATGATTGGATCGGTCACGATTTTGCAAGGTCTTGGAGGAACTCCAAGTTTGCGCCAAGCCCCCTGCAGGTCACTAGTGTGGGCTTCTCAGTAGAAAAGGTCCAATAGCCCACAGCAGCCAATATTCTGTCACACCGCTGGATCTGACTGCATATATGTTGCTGTAAGTTATTGCACTTGTCCATAATGCTTTACCAGCATCCGGTGGAGAGCGACGTGTGACCTCCAGGTGGCAGTATCCTCATTAAAGAGAATTCCTCACATATAGGAGCGTGCCGGGGTGTGCAGCATTTCACAGCCCAATAAAGACTGACACCTGCCTCTCTGCATGCAGCCATGTTGGATCATTCTCTGCAGCGTTCAGAGGTTCTAACAACAAGAATGTTACAAAAAGCACCAAACAGAGTACCAGGCCAGCATTGCCTCCGCCTCTTCTTTATCACATTGCCGGCAGAACGGCGGTACGGTACCTGCATTCTGTTCATGGCCTCCCGCAGTATATCCAGCTGGTGTGCCGAGCTCAGCGCCTCCAGCCTGATGTCGGTCAGTTTCATCTCCTTGTCACGCAGCTCGTTGCGCAGTTGTAAGACGCTGTCCGCCTCGTTCTCTGTGCACTCGGAAAGGCTACAAGAGGACGGAAAGACAAAATCAGTCCCGGCAGAACCTCCCATAGGTCCACTTATACTGAGTGCAGACATATATCCTGATATGTGTTACATTGTATAGATTTGCATTAATAAAAGTATTAAAGGAGAACTATGAGGGGATTGCTTTTCACTCACCTCATAGTTCTAGCCAACCTGTGACAATGAGACTGTCACAGGTCGGCTCAGTAGATCGGGAGGTGAGCGAACACATACCGGCGTTCGCTCACCAGAGAACTGAGAGGTTTATTCTGAATTTCATACAATAGTTCTGGTATAAAACTAGGAACAGAACAGAGGAGAGGGTGTGATGTCATTCCAAAAAGGATTATTAGAATTTATCAGATGACTGGGCGAGACCACAGATCATATCACTGCCGCCATTGTCTGGAAACAAAGGGTTTTATCTTCTCTAAACCCACAATGCTGTCCGATGGACTGATCACATACACTGCTGCTGGGAACGTTTAAAGCTGAAGTGGCTTCTGCACATATTTTGCCTTCTCTGGCTCCTCCTCTTGACCGTCATCAACATGCAAATGACATTTTTTTTTTAAAAACCTTTCCAATTTTATTACATGATTTCTTTTAGACCTACTGATGTCATCACTGGACCCCTGTGCTCCTCTTTGCAATGCAGGCAGATCATGGTTGGTTACATAACTCCCTGATAGCCTCCACACTCCTCTCAAGAGCCCTGATGCAAGCAGTGGGAGGGCTTTTGGGAGGAGTTATGCAAATATCACAATGCCTTGATGGTTGGGAGTCAGTCTGGAGGAGTGGGCGTTCCTCAGCCGGCTGTATTTGCATACAGACCACCAGAATTCAGCTTTACACTTCAATCACTCACCACAACATAACATAATAAAATGTCATAATGTAACATTTTGCGCTGGTTACAATACGACTTCCAGGCTTGAAAATAATTCATTGTAATTCATAACTTGGGGCGGGAGGAGCCTATCAAGATTTGATGATTCTTTTCATGGTGTGAAGACTTCCTCTTATGTGGCAGCCGCTAAATCTGGTTGATTGAGGCCGCCTGTCTGGACAGGACTGCGCGGATTTCTTTAATTAACGTGTAATTGATCAATTAAGGAATATAACATCATTAACGGATTGTAAAGACTATAGAGATGAAAACAATATGTCATCTCAGAGGATTGGGGGGGAGGGGGGGCGGGTAGGTTCAGACTTAAAGGGGTTGTGGAAGGATAAGTATACAAATTTAATGTGGGATTTTCATGTGATGCTCAGAGTACATGGAAAGTACATGGGGAGTACATGGGGAGTGCATGGGGAGTGCATGGCGAGTGCATGGGGTGCAAGAAGTGGAGATTCACTGATATTCTATACAGCCCCTGGAACGCATTGGATGATTTATATTTTCTTGCTATGAATCAGCATCGATATAAAAGGTTTTGGACTCTTCGATCTTTGCTATGGGGGGCTCAGTAGACTTTCTATACGTGGATCCTAGACCCTGGGTCCCCTCTATAAGGGGAGCCACCATGCCCTATATAAATCTGATTGATTTTCCTCAACCAATGAATGTTAATTAATTGTACCCAGCACCTCCTTTATAACCCATCTAACCCCTCTCTACTCCATGCAAAACTTAAAAAAAAGGTTCTGGCAGTGTGTGTAAGGGCTCATTCACATGGGCATTCTCATCCGTACAGCATGCATGCCCATGCAGAGACATGGGAGGCATAGGTGTTGGGTGTAATTGTGTGCAGCACCTGTTACGTGTGGTTGCATGCCAACCTGAACCTGCACATCCACCCAGGTCCAGGTACCCACCATTGATTGAAAACACAGACCTGCGTGAATGTGCAGGTTCGGGTCAGCCACGGGCCTCAGAGTTCCTCCCATAAGAAAGTAAGGGCAGTTACATGCAGCACCTCTCCATCTGGGAAGCGGGTCTCTGCACAGGTGCGCATGCTGTATGGATGTGCAGGTCCGTGACCCCTACCAGGGATGGTAGAAGGAACATTAGTTTGTAATCAACAATGGGGACAAAGGTGACTGCTGAACACGAGTCCTGTACAGTGCTATGGAATATGTTGGCCCTTCACAAATCTTGGAAAAATGATGACGTAACAAATTCCTTAGCTTCATTCTGCAAGGTCCTCATCCAATATCCAAAATGGCCTCCCTGCTGATGTCACATGACTTATTCCGTACACTAAACTGGGGACCATCATAGGAAAGAGACCCACGAGCTCTCCGACTTACATAGAATTGGAGTGGGAGCTCCTCATGAGCGGCGCGGACAACACCGAGCCGTTGTGAGGCAACTTGGGCGAGGACGGGAGGGAGGAGTCGGTCATCTCCTCGATATCGGAGTGAGAGGACGCCGATTTGGGGGACTTCTTTTTACCGAAGGCTTGCTTGAAGGAACTTCTCAGCTGGAAGGAAAAGAAGACAAGCACGGTGAGGAACCTGGGAAAAGAAAATGGCGGACAGACACACTCGATGAGGAAGCATCCCGCGATGTGAATTTTTGGAGGAATGTTAATGGATGGACTGGTGGAACAAGGCATGGCAGACAATGATGATGGAAAGAGACACCACGAGTGACGCAAGGTGTACGGTTATAGCGTGCGGCTCTTACCTCGTTCACCTGGATCGGGGACACGAAAGCAAAAACGAAAATGGGAGAGAAAAAAGGAGAAGAAAAAAAATAAAAAATAAAGTTTAACAGACAACATAAAGTACCTTTTGTGGGCCACAAAAAAAAGACAAACATGAACACTAATGAGCAAAGGCTGCTGGGTAAGAGGACACAGTAAATGCAATACAGGAAGGCTTTTGGCTTTGCCGTGCTCTGGCCGATTCAACTACTTAATGAAGACCTCCTCCAAGACCTCACAGAAGTAAAACATGTGACTAACAAATTGCTTCTTTCTTCAACCACATCCATGAGACACACCGACCCGTTCACCAGCTGGGAGACCCATGAATGCCCCAGCAGAGGTACAGTCACAAGGCATGGTGCTACACTAAAGCAGGGCCAGACTACTTTATCGCCACATGGGCCATCTTCTGACCCCAAACCAAAAACTTCAAGCAAACCACAAACAATTGCTAGGATGTGAGGGAACTACAATCCCTTCCAGAGAAACTCAACTTCTCTACTCAAAAATAAACAACATGGGGGGCCGTAGGGGGCGTGTTTCCAATTCACCGACAGACTGGGCAAGGTGCTGGCCAAAGCTCTTCATGGCCACCAGGCCAAATGGTACATATCAAAGGGGAACAACATGGAACATTTCAATGGCAAAAGGAAGTTGTCCCGCTGCTGCATTGGTCTATTGGAGGTGTCGGGAAAAACCCTGAACTTCGAGATATGGTATGGCCTGCCGACCTGGATGCAGCGTTCAGGGCTCAGCAGCCAATCGTGAGGTCCAAGCACTGTCACATGGGGGAAGGGAAGTAGGTCATTAACCCCGTGTGATCTCTGAAAGAGACTGAGACAGAGGAATTGATATCAGCTCTCATGCAGGGGAGGTAAGTGTGTGTGTGTGGGGGGGGGGGGGGGGGGAGGGGCAGGGCACGCCCTCTCAATTGACCCTCTCGCTTTGCCCCGAATAGGTAAAGTGACATATTCTTTTAAAGGAATGTTCCTCCTCCTCACCCACTGCCCAGCTGATGCTGTACCATCTGACTCCACCCACAACGACGACTCTGGGAGGAATGATTCATTCTTTGCAACATTGGATTCTATTTGCAGCTTGAGATGACATACGTAAACGGCAGCAAACACATTTTCTCATTACGTAGGCATGCTGAGCTCCCTGATCAGTAATGCAGCACAGCAGTTGTGCTCTACAGCTCCTCCTATTGATGTGCAAAGCTAGTGCTTGCCTATCCTCACCCAAGCCGGCCAAGTACTGGGACCTGACAGAGGGACACGCACGTTACTTTGATCTTTTCCTCTGCTAGGGCCTGCTCGTAAGGGGATGCTTATTATGGCTGCCCGGGTGGTCACAACAAAAAGGATTCGGGGGCATAATTGTCTCACCCTAAAAGTTGGCTCACATTGATTTCTACATCGCTTATCCTGTAATGCATTTGATCTCAGCAGCTCACATGTTAATTGTACTGGTTGACATACAGATAGCTAGGAAGAGAATCTACGAGTGTATATATATGAAATGCTGTCATGGAAATATGGAACAGGAGTGAAGTCACAATAAAAACAATTCTATGAAGCCGGCGGAAGGTCTAACCTGACCAATTCTTGTACAATGCTGCATATCCCTGATCACATGGGCCCCTGGACTTGTCTCCCTGTGTGTGCCCTTACCCAGTTCTTCCGGTTCTTCTTCTTCTTGGAGTCGCTGTCCACGTTGCTTCCCACGCTGGAGTGGCTCGTGGCGCTGTTAACACTGGAGACGCTGTCGGATGAGTGTTGCCGTCTGATGCGCAGGTCAGATGACTGCGACGTCCCGTTACCTACAGACAGACAGACACCCCATTAGACACATATATATATATA